TTGAAGCAAGAAAGAACACCTTGATAGCTCAAGAGTTTGACCTGTGGAATGGATATGTCACCTGACAAGGAAGATGGGCAGCCTATATGGATGCTAAACCCATCCATACTTGGGAGCATGGAGCTTTCTTTGCTGGGTGCTAAGTTTAAAAGAAAACTCAAGTACACAGCCACCCAACCATGTCTGGAGTGAAAACTTCTCAGAGAGGAAGACACCAACATTATATACCACCTGCAAAGCTGCAAACATCCATTATCTATACCACTAATGCTAAAGAGGGTCCTGCAGGAGGTGACAGAGGCAAGGGTGGGTAACCAAGGACATGGCATCACACAGGTGTGCACTGCATAATTTACATATGAATGATGACCATCATTTTGACCTGTGTTAGGCCTGAATTTAAAAGATTTCTAAAAAAGAAGTCACGTTTGACTGGTAGGAATTTTGTGGATCACTGACTTACTGGATTGGATAAAGACAGTCTGCATGACTTTATACAGTATATACAGGGCTCTATGGTGTGAATGACATGCTAGCACCATAGAGCCCTGTATTTAACCAATCAGTGACATTCAGGCACCCTACTAATAGTTCTTGGACCTTCAGAAAGTACTGTCCTCCAAATACATACTTTTTACAGGGGGAAAGTCCCTCTGGTGGAAATGCAGCTTTAGATATTTTTGTTGGTGTCTTCATTGTAAATGACCTTTTTTTTTCACCAGTGGATGTTTGTATTCTTTCGGCTTCATGGCTGTCTTGTTTTGACTTGACTTGACTGTCACATGAAAGAATGAAACCAACACTCACACTAGCTTGGTGTGAATACCCTGGGCTATAGGCTGCTGTTTTCTCACATTGGCTCACTCGGATTTCACCCAGATTTGTACTAGGGAGCGGACAGGATAAAGTCTGCTTAATGTCCAAGTCAACTGACTCAGATATTTGTGTTCTCACATACGGCTCCTCCAAGTAAAGCCTAGATAATTTCAAGGTTCCAGTACAGGGCTTTGGTTACTCAGCCATTTTGCCATTTACTCAGTCTCGTTCTCATTCATTCACTCTGTCATTTATTAAATCACTTGGTCACTCACAAAGACCAGGGTACTTGTTAGAGTATTTCTTTTTTAAGTAGATAAAATATTTCTTTATTTAAATGGTCAAATGCTTCATTTTTTAAAGCTTTGCAAACACTTAATAAAGATTCATTTGAAAAGATCAGAATCAGAATCAGCTTTATAGGCCAGGTGTGACACACAAGGAATTTCACTCCAGTACAGCACCTCTCAATGTGTACATACATATCAACAAGAAAAGGAATGTGCATTAGGAAAATAGATTAAAAAAAATAAGAGTAAAGTACTTATATATATATATATATATATACACACAATCCAGCACATAACAGCGGGGTGAGGGAGGCTAGCAGGTAGGGAACACCAAAGGCAAGTGGCTGGCATAGTGTACAGAAACATCTGTGCCGAGTACAGGCTGAAGTCCCAAAGTCAAAATGGGATACACCTCCAAAGGTGGTTCAGAATGACCAAGCTAAGATCCTGTGGGACTTCCAGATACAAACTGACAAACTGGTAACGGCCAACATGTTGAAGGTAAGTGTGAAAATGGGGGCCAGCTGATCAGCACACACGTTCAGGCAGGAGGAGGAGCTTTGCTGCTCTGATCTCCCTTGTCAGTGTGTTCCTGGCCTTGCTGTACAGAATCCTGTCCCGACTTCTGTAAGCCTCCTCTTTGGCACAATGAAGCCGCTTGAGTCTTACTGTGAACCAGGGCTTATTGTTGTATGTACAGAAGGATTTGTTGGGCACGCACATATCCTCACAAAAGCTGATGTAAGATGTCACAGTGTCAGTGAGTTCATCCAGGTCTGTAGCTGTAGCCTCAAATACACTCCAGTCTGTACAATCAAAGCAGGCCTGTAGCTCTGACTTAGTGGTATCTGTGCACTAACCTTCATTTATGTAGAGACAGATTCCACCTCTCGTTTTCCTGGACAGCTCCATTATGCGATCAGCTCTGTACACCTGGAAGCTCGGTACTTAGATTGCACTGGCCGTGATGGAGTCACTGAGCCAAGTCTCCGTGAAGCATAAAGCAGCAGAGCGTGCAAAGACAGAGTTAGTCCTGTTGACGAGAAGGAGTTCATCCATCTTGTTGGCTAGGGAGCGAACATTCGTTAGGTGGATGGACAGGAGTGGAGTCCGGGTCCCTCTCTGGCGTAGCCTCACTAAAGCGCCCGCTCACTTCCTCCAGGTCACGTAGATTGCAGCTGCACTGTCGATCAGAATGTCCACACAGGATTCTTTGTTCTCAAAAGTCGGAGAAATGTGGTTTGGTGTGGGTTGTCCGATGTTTAACTGTTCTTCTCTGGTGAAAGTAATCCAGGATGGGTTGCAAAAGGCCGAGGAAAGAAGGAAAAACAACAAACACAGGAGAGCACGAGTACACAAGGCGAGTATTAATGGTATTTATACTGTAGCAAGACTATAGCAAGTCACTTAAGAGATTTATGTCCAACAGTGCTCATATTTATTTATGTTTTTTTAGAGCCAGCTCATTTGATATGTCTTGGTCTTGCACCCATGTTTCATATAACATCTTTCAGCTATGGCAGCCCTTTCCTACTATGTGTTGAATAATTCATGTCTTGCAGTTCTTGCTATTGGATTGGGGAGACAGGGACTCAAAACCTGAATTACAAAACATCACATTCTTTCATCTCCTGAAATTGTTTTTACAAAATGCAGAGGTCAATTATGAGTCCTCTGGCAATAGTTGGTATGAATAATACACCAAGGGGCAGCAGAACCTTGGGAGAGTTTCTCCACTTGTGTAGATTATTGACGCTTTTTCTTCCTACCCTCAGGTAAAAAAAAAAAAGTACCCTTTGTCTGTGGTCTCCTGCACTGCTCATGCCTCCACTGCCGCAAGGCAAAAGAGGCCTAATTTGCACCAGTCTGTTTGGGGGCCAATTATTATAATAACAAATGTAGTGGAAACACAATAAAATTGAAAACAATAAAAAGTGTGTCTAACTGTATCATGCATTTTAATAATCTGTCTGGCAATTTGCAGAATTTTGCCTCACTTTCTTTATACTGTGCCACATTACCTGAGAGCTGCTGGAAGGCAGTCCATGGTACCTCAATATTAAGCCCTCTTATTGAAAATTCACATGTGTAAAATTACATGGGACCTCTAAAAAGTAGCATGCGCAGAAGCTGTTTTCTTTTCCTTTTTTTTACATCATATGAAAGTGATATATGGAATTAGAAATTTTGAAATAAAAAAAAATATTTTCACCAAGGGGTTTAATCTTCACTGCAGTTCTTCTCTAGGTAATGAATAGGATATAATAATGCATTTTAAACATGAAATTGACATAACATATAATGATTTCTATAAAAATTCTTTAGTTCATATGTGAAACTTCGCAGATGATTTGTACATGTTCACATAATTTGTTTGTGTATCATCTAACTCAATTTTATTTCTTGTACAAGTGTACCTTAGTTTTTAATAATAGTCTCACCAGATACTGTATATCTTAAGTTAGCCAGGTCTTGTTTAAAATTGTAAGACTATAATAAGGGTTGCTTACAGTACCTTATTTTTCTATTGACATCCCACTACTACTACATGGTTTTCATAAGAAATGTTTGCATTTACATACTGTATGTATAAAATGTAATATTAATAATTAATTATTATTGTTAAAACCCATTATCCAATCAGTTTTTTTTCAGTTTTTTTTTTAAAGAAACAGGAATATTGACTGTAAGTCTATTTTACATCATAACATTTTTAATTATAATGTTTACCACTGTTACATTTGCACAGTGGTTTCAAAAATATGGAGCTGAAAAACTGATTAGATGAAATTTAGTAATCCTCAGAGTAATAACTACATGTATAAGTTGCTTACAGTTTGTTTTGGTTTGTTTTTCCAATTGATTTTGATTTTATTCATGGACATGAGTGAAATGGTCTCGCCATATAGAATCTGATGCATTAACATAGTTATTACACCTATTGCAGCTTAGGGTTTGCTAGCTAGCTGGCTAGCTATACTTTCCTCCCAAAAATGCATCTTCCCTGGATGTCAGAAGACAACCATAAATGCAGTTTTTTTTTTAAAATAAATCATTGAACATTACAGGCATGGATGTGATGGTAGAGGTGGTGCCTTTCCACAATTTAGTGCGGTTTCAATGCCTTCATCTGACGCCCCCAGCATTTCAGATCAGTGATTACTCCTTATTTTTTCATGATTTTAAGACCAGATGTTATGTTCTTGGTGATTTTTTTTAATCATTCAAATTTGGCTGGTGGTTAATAAGACATTTTTCTGTGGTGGTACAAACTCAAGATGTATACTACAGTATCTTACCTGTATTTAGCACTGCGCTCTTCTGGACAGAGAGCTCTGATGTTGTTCCTGGGATCTGTTGGAGCCACTCTTTCAGGTTAGGAGTCACATCTCAGAGTGCTCCTACCACCATTGGAATGGGACCACTTTGGCCATCACCTTCCACATCCTCTCCAGTTCCTCTGTCACATCCTGGCACTTCTCCAGCTTCTCATACTCCTTCTTGTTGTTGATATGAAACATATGAGGGAACTATGGATGCGCAGAAGACAAACAATCACACTAACTGCTTCAACATAGTGTATATACAGTATTTGTGTTTCAATGAACAAATGAAAATCTGCGTTTTTAATTTAACCAAGTATCCTGTAACATAAATTCATGTTTTGGATTTCTATCAACCAACTATATGGAGAATCAGTTGTAAATTCCGTGTGTTATGATTACTTTAATTGTGGCTGCTATACCTATAGCCTTCATACACATACATACAGTACATTAGGAGGCTCGACATTACCGTCCCAACATGGCGACCGCGCTGACGCATCACTCTGTTGAACAGCAGTGGCATATCTGTGAGGAATTATATTTGACGACTATCCAATCAGCGTGCGCGTCAACATCGTAGTCCGGAAGAAGGAAGCTCAAATCAAAAAGGGCGCCTTGATTAAACGTGAATACGCTACTTTAAGGTAAGCTCTTTATAACTTAAACATAACAGTGTGTATACGCGATGTAAAAACTTTTCATATTGATACAGCAGTTTCACACACGAAGCAGTTTTACTGTAAACAAATAATGTACGTTTTAAAATTAATTGAGAGGCATTCTTCAGTTCCTTATAGTGTGAGATTTGAGCGATACCAAGTTATTCTTTTGACAAAACTGATACCTTAATTATGTGACATTAACGCTACGTTACACAAAAGTGTGCAGACTGTGGATACATTATTCTGTGTAATGTGATAGTGGCACAGCTGAAATACTGTATGCAGGTGCTGTTCTTGTGTCGAAGTCAGTTCCCTTATCAGATAATGTTTCCCTCAAGAAGGCAGATCTGACTTGGAAAGTGGCAGTAGCAGGGAGCCTAGGGCTTCTTCTACCCCGGAAAATAAATTAAAAACAAAGCCTCGCTACTTTTTATTATGCACATACAGTATATAGGGTACATTATCAGCATAGTCTATCAACATTTACATGTGTTGTGAAACTAACTAAAAAAATCAGTTGTGACATATTAATCCTATTAATAATGTTTCATAAATATTTGAAGCCAGAATACCCTCTTGGACAACACCAAAGTTCATAGTTAAAAATATTTGTTTTTAACAATTACGTCAGAAGAATGTGCTCTTTGAGGTAATGTTACAGCTGATAGTGTAGATTCTTACCTGTTCACCTGTTTTCTTTCTCTACCTGGCCGGGCCTTTCACACGGTGTTTTCCTGTCTCTCTTTGAGGGTTGCGTGTGTGTATACAGTATGTCACTGAAGGTACACACACAGTCAGAACTTTTTGTTTTGTAGGCAGTCTGCATGGACACAATTTCTTTTTCAGAAAACAGATGTCCACACACGTAGTTTGTGTTGACCCTTGCAGACCTGGTAGAATGATGAAATTTATGTCACAGGACTATAGAGAACCAGTGTATGCAGAAAGATTGAACAGCCTCTTATTTACTGTATATTGGATTTGCTTTAGGAAGGGATAGCTTAGTTTGCAACAGTATTGATGGAGGTACAATTAAATTGAGCAGTAATGCTTTCAGTGTGTATTTGATTGGGTATGCTTTAAACAAATCACAACTAACAGCATGTATGTTGTGTTGCATTAAATTTTTCATTTGTGCAATGTCTGTCTGTAAACCTAGCCTGTTTTGATTGCTTGTATCTCTGCAGCGACCTGCATATCACTGTGACCATGAGTTTCTTCCGAGGTCCATGCAGCACTATCCAGGAGCAGAGGGACCAGTGGGAGAGAAAACGCAGCCGAACGGCCAGAGAATTGGTGCAGACAGAACAACGCTATTGTCAACAGCTGGAGCTGGTCACCACTGTACGTACTGTAGCAGTCAGGAGCAATGTTTTAACTTACTGCAGGCTCAGAGACGTTACATTACCTGAACCAAAGGCCACAAATTTATCAGTGGCAGACTTTCATTTTTTTCACTTAGCATTATTGGGTGTCTTTTTATTGATGTTTTAATCAAAACTTTTAAGAGTAACTAAACCCCAAACCACTTTTTTCAGATGAAAACCAATGTATACAGGTATTTAGCAGTGTTGTCAGTTGATTCAGATTGCAGTCTTGACATTTTGTGCATATTGTGAATATGCATAGGGACTGGTCAAAACACAGCTATTGCAATAGAATTTTGCTTCTGGCTGATCTGGTGGCAGGTGACATGTATGATGCTAGCTTTCATCACCAACCCCCACCCCCATCCTTCCTCACCCACCTCCTCACCCCTTCACGTAAAATGTCTCCTGCGATGCAGACTGTGGAGAGTCAGGAGCTGGAAATGTGTGGATTGATTATAGTGATAAAGTGGTTAGACTGTTAGCACTGATTAATGATTGTTGATTACATGGAACGAAATGGTACCAGCAAGGTTAGCTTGCATTACTAACATTAGGCTACCTTGATAACTGAGGGTGCTGCTGCTTAATGTTACTGCAGTCTAAATCTATATATGTGCATATTACCTGCTGCCTAATGTTATCTAACTGCCCTATGAGGGCATTCAATAGGTTGGTAGAGTTATTATTGCAATAATTCAGCTGTGCTGTAACCACTTGAGTGGGTAAAATGCCAGAAGTTGGTAACAGTACCCTGCTACATCTTATTCAACTGTTATTGTGGTTTATGTGAGTTGCTAGAATGTCAGCTTTAAGATTAGGACTGCACATTTAACATCTTAATGGTTATTGACATTTCTTAAAATTATACAGTGTGAGTAATTAGGCTCAGACACAGGGGTTTAATTACTCTTTAATGCTAGTATTAAATAGGGGTGCAATGGATCACAAAGCTCTTACACTCAGTCTGGATTGTGTCATGGATTGGATTCTGATTAGCAAAAAAAAAGTGTGTGTGTGTGTGTGGGGGGGCAAATACCCAATTTTGCTTTCCATTTAAACTTAATGAACACTTAAAGCAAGGAAATTTTGCCCATGGTTTTAAATTAAATTAACATTCAGGATGTTCAGTGTTTAAATAAAATCTTGAAATAATCATTAATCAATTGGTTCGGTATGAGGCTTAATACCTCCTTCTTCTTTTGAACATTAGTGAATGACAAAAAATAGTCTGTCAACACCATAAAAAAACAGACCTGAGCTTAAAATGTCACATTGTTTTTCAAAAAGATGAGGATGACTATGTTCTCTGGGGAAGTGGGTGGGGGATGGGAGATCAACTGTGGTTCGTTATTTGTAATGATCAGTCCCTCAAGGATTTAGCAAATTCAGCCAATCCCTGTGAATTCAGCATGACCATGCAATTTTGTCATAGCAGTCTCCTACTCAAAATGTTGAGCCATATGTCTCACATTTACTGACTCTAATTATTACTGTATAACAAGTAAGGCAGTTACCTGATGCATGAGTGTACAGTATGTGTGTGTGTGTTGAGGGTGGGGGTTAACTGTTTTGCGCCTCAAGAAAAGTTGTGGTGGAAAGACAGATCTTCTTTCACAAAAAACACCTGGAGAATGGCTGAAATGCAGGGACAGCAGACAAGATGAGGCACATGACAGGCTGATGGATCCCGATCTAATGCTGAAAGAATCAAGGTGACTTGAATTAAATAAGCATGGTTAGTGGTACCGTTAGGGTAGTATCAACCACATAGTGACAGAGTCGTGCTTATCTCTTTGTGTGACAGACTGGGTGTGTATGATAAGTCAGTAGTTTAGGAATAAAAAATCTCATCCAGTATTTAAAGATGGAGTAAGAGATTTATTTATAATATCGAGTTGGGTGTGTAACGAAATTAGAGATGTAATGAAAATAACCGTACTTAAGATTACTTAAACACAGGTTTTCTTAACTAGAAGTGTAATGAATAAAAAAAAAACAACTACTTTTGCAATTTTCACTTCCACCTGTAATTTTATAGCAAAAGACACATGTGCCCTGGAAAACCTGGATATTTTTGACAAATTCTCCAGTCATGAAAAATTGTATAAAGTCCTGGAAAAACACTGCATTATCCTGGAAAATAATTCTTACTTTTTTGTAATTTTCTTTCACTGAGAGCAAACTGTCAGATCTCAGCATGAGCTGGCAACTGAAATTAGGGCAATGTGTGAGTTAAACTTAGAATAGCAAGGATAGAGGTTTATGGCCTGTTTTATTAGGCTAATGTTTTTGTATGCTTTGAATACCCTAAGCCATTAGTTTTTGAATGCATCACATCACATCAGGTCTGTGAAGATGGTGTGAAAATAATAAAGCAATTCATTAAATGAAGACAACATCTCAATGCCAAACATTCTCAGAGACAAAGTGTTCAGCATACAGGCAATAGTGTACAAGGATAAATTTATGGCACCCTTCATCCCTGTGAAGAAAACGTCTCCACCCTCCGCTGCAGTCTCACTTGTACACAATTATTCATTCTCACTCCACCTTCATTCCAATTAGGAGTCATTTTAGGACTACTGCACATTCAATTTGCTAATTCCATTTTCACGTCAAATGACTTGAGACCAGCACAGCTGTCTGTTTATTGTGAGGTTAGTCCTGCTGTTCAGCGTGTCATCCTTCAGGAGTCTCTTCTTCACTGCCTTGGCAGCCTCTGTTGTGGGAATGCAAGTGAACAAGGATGTGACATCATATGGGACCATGGTCTCGTCCTGGTCAAGCTGCAACACTGTCATCCCTTATGTGGCCGGTTTATCAGAGAAGTTAAAAAGGATCTTTCACAACCACAATATCCCAGTCAACTTTAAATCATGGAACACCCTGCGGCAGAGACTGGTCCACCCAAAGGACAAAACACCCAGACATAAACAGAGTGATGTGGTGTATGCAATTAAGTGTAGTCATAGTCAGGAGTGTAACGACCTGTACATTGGTGAAACTAAGCAGCCACTGCACAAACACATGGCCCAACACAGGAGGGCCAACTCCAGTGGACCAGAGTCAGCAGTCCACCTCCACCTGAAGGACACAGGGCATTCTTTTGAGGACAGTGAAGTCCAGATCCTCTCCAGAGAACATCACTGGTTTGAGAGAGGAGACAAGGAAGCTATTTTTTTTGTAAAAATAGAACACCCCTCACTAAATATGGGTGGTAACTTGTCTTCCATCTACAATCCTGTTTTGAGATCTCTGCCCAAACATGCCCATCAGGACAATAGGCGTCGGTCGACGGGAGGATTCAAAGACAGGTAACGACTCCCACCGATACTGAGCTATAATGACTCAGTTGTTAGGGGACATTGTTGGCCATCAAAGGACTGAAACACCACCGAGGGGGATAAATATTTCCGGCTCAACACCAGTCACTCGGAACTGAAGAAGCCTCTTGGATGAGAGGTGAAATGTCTTCGACCTAAAAATCTAGTCCAGTTGATTTTTCTAAGTTTCTAAGTTTACTATATGATGTTAATCAATTGTCAGAGCTCCAGACTGACTTTTTCCTATACTGGCACTGGTGCTTCTTACTGGAATTTTTAGGAGCACCAGCACAGATTTAGATGCTCCACTTAATTTTACACGCAACACAACACATTTATATATTTTTCTATCTTAACTGTATGACAGATAAATTGTAACAAATAGACAGCTTACAGAAATAACAGTGTGTTGTATTATTTTTAAGGAAAAAGTCACAAAGTAAAGTTTTGCTTGATGGCCACTGTTTTATCTGACTCACCTGTCTCTGTCCCCAGATGATGGAAGGCATCTTTGGTGGCATCACAAGTTTCTACATTACAAATGATTTGTTACAGTGCCTTGCGAAAGTATTCGGCCCCCTTGAACTTTGTGACCTTTTGCTACATTTCAGGCTTCAAACATAAAGATATAAAACTGTAATTTTTTGTGAAGAATCAACAACAAGTGGGACACAATCATGAAGTGGAACGAAATTTATTGGATATTTCAAACTTTTTTAACAAATAAAAAACTGAAAAATTGGGCGTGCAAAATTATTCAGCCCCTTTACTTTCAGTGCAGCAAACTCTCTCCAGAAGTTCAGTGAGGATCTCTGAATGATCCAATGTTGACCTAAATGACTAATGATGATAAATAGAATCCACCTGTGTGGAATCAAGTCTCCGTATAAATGCACCTGCACTGTGATAGTCTCAGAGGTCCGTTTAAAGCACAGAGAGCATCATGAAGAACAAGGAACACACCAGGCAGGTCCGAGATACTGTTGTGGAGAAGTTTAAAGCCGGATTTGGATACAAAAAGATTTCCCAAGCTTTAAACATCCCAAGGAGCACTGTGCAAGCGATAATATTGAAATGGAAAATGGAAGGAGTATCAGACCACTGCAAATCTACCAAGACCTGGCCGTCCCTCTAAACTTTCAGCTCACACAAGGAGAAGACTGATCAGAGATGCAGCCAAGAGGCCCATGATCACTCTGGATGAACTGCAGAGATCTACAGCTGAGGTGGGAGACTCTGTCCATAGGACAACAATCAGTCGTATACTGCACAAATCTGGCCTTTATGGAAGAGTGGCAAGAAGAAAGCCATTTCTTAAAGATATCCATAAAAAGTGTCATTTAAAGTTTGCCACAAGCCACCTGGGAGACACACCAAACATGTGGAAGAAGGTGCTCTGGTCAGATGAAACCAAAATCGAACTTTTTGGCAACAATGCAAAACGTTATGTTTGGCGTAAAAGCAACACAGCTCATCACCCTGAACACACCATCCCCACTGTCAAACATGGTGGTGGCAGCATCATGGTTTGGGCCTGCTTTTCTTCAGCAGGGACAGGGAAGATGGTTAAAATTGATGGGAAGAGGGATGGAGCCAAATACAGGACCATTCTGGAAGGAAACCTGATGGAGTCTGCAAAAGACCTGAGACT